GTTGATGAAAATAAATTCACTGGTTGCTTGAAACATTGAAGAAAATGATACTACCTTTTGAACTTTATATGCTTGGTTTGGTGATTTAACAAGTACGTATTAACTACCACTTAGTAATACGGTTTAGTAGTATTCTTCTTTACTTTTAAGTGCGAGGTCTTAAGTTTGATTCTCTTCAAAGGTGAATTTGAACCACATTATTGTTAACCCATTATGAGGCTAAGCTCACCTCCTCCCTTTAGTCCAGATAATATGGATTGTTCCAAAAAAAAAAAAAATACAATGCCCATTAACTAATTTGTTAAGCTCAATCATATGATGCAAATCATGTTTTAGTGATGTAACTATGAGTGGATTGTTTATGCCCAACCAAGCCCAAAAAAGCCTTAAATCGTCAAAGCCCAGCAGTTCATCCCACCAGCGATCTTTGTTCGTAAAACTGGTCAATAATTTATTACCGACACAAAATAATAAATTTGTCAATTGTTCAGTTACATAGTAATATAAAACGTTTTCGGTTATTTTGAAGCACTTTCAAACAAGCTTTTAATTGAGTCGAGTTAATGGATTTATTCTATTGGCAAGTAAGTTTATCAGTCATTTTAAAAGCACTAGCTTTCATGGCATATTTAGGCTATTAAGTTTAATACTCACTTGAAAAGTGATTTTGATATATGGATTTATTTTTTATTAATATACTTTAAAAGCATAACAAAAGAAAAACTACGTTGTTTATGCATATTATACACGTGAAATGATAAAATTTCATAATAACAGTATAACTTTCGTGAGTTTGAGTTGGTAAAAAGGATTCACATGCACAAATACATTACAACGTTAACATTCCAAGTCAATGAAATAAAGATGTATAAGTATTTGTACACGTATTCTCGTTTAGTTGGTACGAGATCTCATAACGATATACCTGCGTATGTAAGTTGCTATCCTGAATTGCATGAATAAAGTAATTAGTCATGGTATCTCACTGGACGCATTGCCATGCTAATAACGTTCACACATCCGATAGCAAACTAAAAAGAAGAAGAAAATAACATAAAGCATGGTTCGACAATGACATATTAACATCGCTCTTGATTATTTTTTGTGCACTTTCATTGGATCTAATTTGCTTAAAGATAAATATAAACATTTCAACGGTTCATAATATAGACTCGTGATTATTTAATTTGACTTTTTTGCTTCCTCATTAACTTTGTCTTGAAATTGTAATGTTGTACCAACAGGTTAAGGGTGCCTTCATTAGTCATTACCATAAAAATCAAAATAATCAGAAAATGACATGTCACTCATTCCTCATTATTTGTTCTTTTGTTGATCAATAAAATCGATCACACGATCAATTTTGCATGTAAATAAAAAAGTTATTTAATTGAAAAGAAAAGAAAAAGTGTTCTTTGCAACCAAATGTGTTTCAGGAAATGCATTAGTAGTGGTGGATTGCCTTAATAAAGAGGTATTCAACTTTTGCATTTTGGGTTCAGATTCTTCCTAATAATGTTATCATTTTTAATAAAATAAATTATTTTCAACACATTAATGACTACATCTCTATCATATATGAAAGATGTGACAAATGAACCAAAACACCAAAATCACCTATGTGACAAATGGGTTCATGAATTGTAGTCCATAATTTTTTGCCAACTTGGGTCCTTCACTGAGCAAATATCTAGGGCAAAACTTGCTACTTTGGCAAATCTATAGCCACTAGTATCTACAAACGTACATGTAACGTCCTGCCCCGAAACATTTGTTTCAGAATATGATTCCATGATAGGTCAAATTAAACTCTTATTTATTTAAATACCATTAATCACAACTCTTTATTTAAAAATTAAATTCTTATTTATTTAAATACCATTAATCACAACTCTTTATTTAAATTTATTTATCACTCACAAAATCTATAACCAAAATTTAATTACCAAAACATAAGATTTAATTTTACAATTAATCACCAAATTTCTTTTCTTAATTCAAATTCCCAACAAAAGATTAATCTCAATTATTTAAGGCTGCGTCTAACCCTGTTAGATTGCCTACGTACCCTTGAGTGAGATCAAGCCTTACGTAGTTCACCATTCAACCTTTTATCCATTTTCGAAAATACTTTAATAACGAAAATATTTAACATTAGTTTTCACAATCGAATCACACCAAATGGGTACCAATTACGGAATTAAAATATCAAAATCTACATGAAAAAACAATGTCGGCCTACTAGCCACATGCCGCCGCGGGTGGCGGTCGGCCGTCCCGACTTGCTGAAAAATTTAACTATTTCAAAAAATTACCCAATTTTGCAGGAATGTACAAGTCAAGGAGAGAAACATTTTTCATACTTGGGCCAAGGTCCAATTCGACTGAGAAAAGCCCCAATTTCACTCAAACCCGCTGGAAACCCTAGAAATGGGTGGCTTCGATCTGTCACCTCTTGTGCTCTGCCGCCCCAACCAATGCCTGGGCTTTGTTCCTGAGGTTGAGGGGAGTCCATTGATGGTGGTGGTGGTAGAAGTTTTATTCAGGTTTGGTGGATCGCCACCACGAACTTCGTCGCACACCCTCTGGTGCAGTTTCACAATTTCTAAGGCCAAATTCCATCAAATTTTAGGGTGGAATGGGTAGAGGGAAGGCCATGGAGTGTTTTCCCAAGGGTTGTTTGATGTGGTTTGTCGGAAAAACCACTGAAGAAGGCGAAGGAACCGGGTCGGGTCGCCGGGTCTAAGTGATTCGGTGTTCCCTCCTTCTCCTCCTTTCCCTCCCGGTTCTCCCCTTCTATTGGTCCACCCTCTCCCTCCTTTTCTCTCCCGCAACCTTCTCTTCCTCACAGCCACACACATGGAATCATCCCATTGCTCCAGTTTTTCTAGAGCCTTTCAAATTAATTGTAAAATGCCTATTTTGCCATCCATTTCAATCGTTAATAACTTCTTCGTTATAATTCTGTTTCACGAACGATTTTCGCCCACACACTCGTGAGATCGAACTCTATCCAAGTATGCCAAGAAAAATGATAAAATATGCGAGTATAAAAAACATCCTCGTGTATTTCAATTTAGCCAACTAGGGAATTTTCGTCATTTCACTTATAAAATTCTTGGAAATAAAACTTTAAAATTTCTCAATTCAACTTTCATAACTATAAATCGATTTATTTTCGATTTTCTCCACATATTCATAATTATGAATATCTAGTTCATGTATTTAAATTTTCTGGGTATTATAGTACATATGTGTACATTATGTGTTTGTTCGATAGGTCACCTAATATAATCTCTTATATGAAGAACAACGACTTACCTGCGAAATAAACAATTACAATATCTACGTATTAAGAAAAAAAAATTTATACTGTATATATATATTTTTTTGCTTTTGGCCGATATTAGCCATATATGAATTTATTATCACAATTTTTATAGGAAAACTAATGAAAATGGTTTGAAAACTTTGAGTTTTAACGATAAAGATAAAATAAAGGGTAAAGTGAATAGTACCATGATTGACTTTTTAGTGTAAAAATGTGGATTTTTGTTAAAGTGAACAGTACCGGGAGCTTTTCATTAAAGTTCCCAATTTTTATTTTATTTTTACAAATGCAAAGATTTTTATCTACTCTAATTTTTTAAAGAATGATTCAAAACTTATGTTCAAGGAGATGGACACACCGTCCTCCCATCATTTGGTAGAGGCTACTTTCTTAAGAGGAAAAACAAAGGCAGATGATCTAAATGGTATAATGTTTTTTTTTTTTTTTTTTTTTTTTTGTCAAATGATAGATTTGTTAGATTAAGGAGCTGATGAGATTCGAACCCATGCTATAATGCAAGGGTAACATTCCTCTCCACCATTGTGGTAGAGGGCCACTTGCAATGGTAGAATGTTTCTTTGTTTTCCTTCTAATCTTTATCTTATGATGTTTTTTATTCAAAATTTAGCTAAAAAGTTCAACAAAAAAAGAAAAAAAGACTGCTGCAAAGGCAGCACATAATTTAGCTAAAAAATGCAAAAATGGATATGTGGCTGCTGGGATTCGAGCCCAGGTCTCCACGGCCACAACGTGGAATTCTTACCACTAAACTACAGCCACTGATGTTAGCAAACTGGGTAAGTTATTTTCTTATAAGTGTTATTGTTCTTTTCATCCAAAATTACACGTTCCCAGGGCCTGAAAAGTTTAGGGAAAGACTACCTCATCTCAAGGCATACCACAAGTCTCTTTGAGAACTTATACAAGGGGTTTTAGCCTTTTTTGTTTTTTTCTGATCACCTACCATTAGGTATTGCCGGCAGCAGAACTTGAGTCGATGCTTGAGTTTAGTGAAGATAATGATCCTTATTGTTCATTTACCGCTAACATTGTTTATATATATTTTGAGGTTGACATACAATTGGCTTCGCTCGGCCTGATCGAGCCTGATCCTTCGAGTTTACTTGCGTACGATCTTTCCGTATGTATTCCATTTTCACCTCTAGACCCTGGCTGGGAAACAACGCTTCCGATGGCTTCCGATGAGGACGAAGGGGTCTTTGAGGAGTAAGATGAATCCCCATTAGCCACCTTAGCTTCCTCTGCATTTAGAGTGGTAATGTTTACGTACGGAAAATATAAAACTATTGTCTTATAGAAATTCAGGACATTGTCTTATTTAATTTGTAGGGGACTTGATGTGATTAATTCAAAAGAATGGACGCGTAGTAGCATATACATGTCTTCGTATCAGACTGTTGAAAACTTATGCAACCACTCGGTACCCATGATCTCGAGTCTAGCTGTTGCAGAGTTTGCTATGAGTAATATAACTCGAAACATGGATGAAACCTCTTGAAAGATTATGACCATACATGACAGACGATTTCCGCACGTATAGGGGAGGGGAGAGGAGGGAACTAGTCATCCAGAGAGTACCTTTATGAAGAAACGAAACGACTAAATCTCCAACTTTCGTCGAATGCAAACGTATACTTGCTGAGCTAAATTGACAAACAAATAAACCATTGCAAAAGCATTTATTAGAAACTCAAACAGTTGCATGAAGTCAAGCTGCACAACCAATTTAAATTTGTAACTAGATTCATCCACACATGTGTTCCCATCCAGGATTTTCTAAAGCTTGAGCTTACAACGGTCTGGCTTACTACTTGAGAAAATACACCAGCACTAGAGATAAAAAGTTTCCAAGGCAAGCAAATAAACCAAGACATCAGGCATCGCAAACACGGGCAGTTCCAAGCAAAGGGCGTTGCAGCACAACAAATCTGCAACACAAGAAAACACAGGATATCAACAGAAACCACTATATTAGTAAACGCTAATTCGTTAGATTATAATCGACAGCAAGAGTGTGAGAATGTAACTTCCTCTTCAATCTTTAGAATGAATAAAAGATCTGATTTGAAGTCGAACTATTTCATCAATGAAAGCCATGGGAAACAGGAATTCAACCCATCTTCTACAATGAGACTTAAAGTACATATGAAAAAGACCGCACTAACCATGTTAAATTGAAGAAGAAGAAAAAAGACAATCCACAAATTTATTAACATCAACATGCAATGTTCTGTTCTCAGCACTACAATCACATGACCTGTTCTTTCTTTTAGTAAGAAACTGCCTCGGTCTTGTCGAGTAAGAGGAGGCTCTCTTGATAAGAATCAAAAGAGTAATACTGATACTCGGAAACCCCAATATTGTTCAACTGCTTGCTCTCAAGGTCTAAGGAAACAAAATCATGCTTTACTATATTTATTTTACCAAAAGTGTCGGGGTACCCTCGAATCAGTAACCTTGTGGACCGAGACTAATCAATTTGGTCCATGACTCCTTTATGCCATACTCTCATTACCCATATATCAAGACAACGATCTTTAGTCCCGTTTCTTGTTGTGAACAGAGCAATACAATTTTGGTCTACGGACACAGACAATTGCAGTCCCAACGAGGAACTCCATCTGTAACTCTCTGGCATCGATAACTCGCTAAATAAACCACTGCCCACATCAAAGGTTAATGTAAAATAATAAAACCCATCATCTTTCCTGCGGAGGACAGGCCAATGAAGAGTCCCTTTAACAAAAGTCTGGGAAGCAACTCCACATACCTCACATGCAGGAGCAACAATACCAAGACTGCTCCATGAGCCCGTGTCTAGTGAATACACCCCAGGTCAAATGCCAATATAAAATAGTGAAAGCCACCATTTGTCAAACGGGTTGCAGGCCAATGAAGAGCACCATTAACAAAAGCCTGGAATGCAGCTCCATCTATTCGAAAGGAAGGAGGAACAGAACCAAGACTGGTCCACGAGCCCTTGGCTAGTGAATTAACCTCAACTACTTGACATTTTCCAGATATAAGACGGACAAGTCTCACAACCTTACAGTCATTGGTCACAGCATCAAAACCGAACCCAATAGTGCATCATACTAGCAATGCGTACTAAAGGTGACACCAGGCCTTGGAAGTGTCGGTGACTTTCTGATAAAAGGGTTCCATATAATGAAGTTTCTAAACCATAACGGAAGATATCATCTGCCAGGCATACCAACCCATCACAAACCACACGGAAAACCGAATTCTCCAGTTTTTCCTTGTGGGCAATTGGAAAATCTATGTTGCAGTACTCGTCAAAAGATTGGTTATCATCAATCATAGAGGAATATTAAAATTGGGTGAGGTGGGCGCAAACTACGATGCATGGATACAATGGTTTACCCCCATCTCGCGTATCTGAAACGCGGGGGATACATTTCGGAGTCAACAGATATGTAGTTGACTATCGGGATGCGAATATACGACTTTCCAGATACGTTTGACACTAAATTCAGAGGATAAGCATAAAAGGTAAAAAATAATTACACTAAATCCTTTTTTTCCTCACTCAAAAATCAGTAATCAGACTCCGGTGGGAGAGACCTTCACCGTCTGCAACTCTTAGTGTGCTGGTTGCGTCGTCTGCAAGTGTGCGTCATCAGCAACTGCAAGTGTGCTAGTTGTCGTTTATAACAGCAAGTGTGCTGGCTGTTTCGATGTGAACAGCAGAACATGTAAGAGATATCCTCAAGTAATCATGTGTAACTGGCTAGATTCCCTTGGGGTGCGTTTAAATACGTCAAAGATATCTCTTCATGTCAAAATTTCAGGGGGTGCCTTTAATATACTGGGGGTCTCACAACGATCAAGTATTTAATCACTAACTGTTACTATAATATATGATTTAGTTTGTACGTTAGTGGCCTGAAACCTGTATCCCATATAAAATTATTTAGTTTGTGTTCTTATGGTTTATATGTTTTGCTAATCTTGGAAAATGATCATCCTGATTAGGATGTTAATGTTAATCTGGATGAGAATCTTGAAAATAAGTTGGATGATTATGCTCTATTGTGGAAGTAAGTCAAAAAGCTCTAAAGTGTGGTAAATGGAGGAGAATGAAATACTGTGTTTGAATGCAACTATTGTCAAAAAAATTTCAGAGGATCCTACCCTAGGGTCAAGTTTCATTTGTTGAAATTTTTTGGGAATGGAATCGCGTCTTGCCACAAGATTACTGATGAAACTTTTGCAGAAATGAAAAAGCTAGTTTGAGAGTGTGAATACAAGCTGAAGAGTTCAGCTCCAAGGCAAGTTTCTTTGCCCAATACTCGTTCTTTCTTTTATGCTCAACCTTAAGTAAATCTTGATCCAAAGAAGAGAAAGGAAACAAGTGTGCCTCTCAGTAAAGCTTTTAACAAGGAGGCTAGAGATCAATGTGTTGTTGAAGTTGAAAGGATGTTTTACACAAGGTGTTTTATCCTTTAACCTTGCAAAAAATCCACTATCGGAACTCGTGTCTTTGTGCTTCTACACTTCCAAGGTATGTGCCACCAGTTTACAATACATTGAGAACTACTCTTCTGCAACAAGAGAAGAGTCACATTCAACGATGCCTCCAACTAATTAAGCGTACATGGAGCACTAAATGTGTAAGCCTATGTAGTGATGGGTCGACAGAAGCACAAAGGAGACCACTTATTAATATTATGACAACTTGTGAAAGCGGGTCTATATTCTTGAGGGCAATTAATTGCGAAGGTGAATACAAAGACGATCATTGTATTGCCAACTTCCTTACAGAAGCCATTAAATAAAATAGTTGTGAAAATGTAATTCACATGGTCACTGACAATGACCCTATTTGTAGAGCTGCTGAATTACTTATTGAGGCCCACTATCCCAACATCTTTAGGGTGTGAACAACACATAGTGTCCAAAAGATGTTGGTACAGTGTGCCTCATCAAGTAATCCATCAACTCCTCAAACAGATGCATTGTTAGTGATCACTTGAACTACATTTTCATAACCAATTTCTTTAATGGCTTTTGTAAAGAAGTTGGCAATTCAATGCTTTTCTTCATATTCACCTTCACAATTAATTGCCTTCAAGAACATAGGCTCGCTTTCACAAATTGCCATAATATTAATTGGTGGTCTCCTTTGTGCATTTGTCCACATAATCGCACATACTTACACATTTAGTGCTCCATGTATGCTAGATTGGTTGGAGGCATATCGCTCAATGTGACTCTTCTCTTGTTGCATAAGAGTAGTTCTCAGTGCATTGCAACCTGGTTGAGCATACCCTTGAAGTGTAGAAGCACAAAGATACGAGTTCCGATAGTTGTGATTTTTGGCAAGGTTAAATGATAAGCTACACGTGTAAAACATCCTTGCAACTTTAGCATCACATTGATATCTAGCCTCCTTGTTAAAAGCTTTAATGAGAGGCCCATTTGTTCCCTTTCTCTTATTTGGGTCAAGATTCACTTCAGGTAGAGAATAACAAAAAGAACCAGTATTGGGCAAACAAACTTGCCAAGGAGCAAAACACTTTAGCTTGTATTCGCACTCTTGAACTAGCTTTTTCATTTCTGTAAGAGTTTCATCAGTAACTTATTGCAAGACGCGATCCCATTTCTCGATATTTTCAACAAATAAAACTTGACCCTAAAGTAAGATCATCTGGAAATTACTGACAATAGTTGCATTCAAGCACAATATTTCATCCTCCTCAATTCCCCACTCTTTCAAGTTTTTTGACATACTACCACAGTGGAACATGATCATCTAAATTATTTTCAACATTCTTATCCGAATTAACATTAGCATTTGCTTGATTATCATGATGATTCATTATCCTAGATTAACAAAGCATATAAACGATAAGAATACAAACTAAATAATATTATAATTTATATGGGAAACAGGTTCCAACACTAAATCACTCACATACAAATACAAACTAAATAACATTATAATGACATTTAGTGATTAAAGACTTGATCGTTGGGAAAATCCCAATATATTAAAGGCACCCCGAATATATTGAAGGCACCCCTAGGAAATCTATCCAGATACACATGATTGCTTGAAGAGATCTCTTACCTGTTCTGCTGTTCAAATTGAAACCCAGTTACACAGAACCAGGAGCCAGCACACTTGCTGCAGACGACGCAGTCTGAACACTTGCAGTTGCAGAAGACGAAGCCAAGACACTTGCAATTGCAGACGACGGTCGACGGTGAAGGTCTTTCCCACCAAAATCTGATTTCTGAAGTTCGAGTGAGGAAAAAAAAAAGGTAAAGATCTGAATTTTTACACATATAATATTGGTAAAGAATTGTTTCAATTTTTTGGTCAAAGAATCGTTTCAATTCAGGCTAACTTCAATGAATTCTCAATTATCACGATTCTCCTCGGATTTAGTGCACTTATCTTTGATTTATTTATTTATTATTGTCCTCTAAATTTAGTGCCAAACGTATCCAGACAGTCAGATATTCATATCTCAATAGTCAACTACGCTCCGATACGTATATTTTGCATGTTGTATCCCAATTGTCGTGTGCCGTACGTAGCTGTACATAAACCACCGTGTCCCTGCATCGTAGCATAATGCACAGAGTAGAAGTCTTTCGTTACCCCGTCAACTAGTGTTTCGGCTTTTGTAACCAGAAAATACGGTGGTGTATGAGGATGTGAATATCATTCTGGTTATAAAGGTTGATTATTAGGCTGAGGTGGGCTCCAATGAAGCGTGGATCTCGGACAGCGGATCTCCATGTCTTGCTCACTAAGTTGCATATGATCAAAGATTTAAGGGCTAATTTAAATAGGATGTCGTGGGGAAAGAGTATCCCCTTACTTCAAATTTGAATTGAATTTCTGCAGTTTTGATCGTTAGAGTGGGTTACGAGAGAATTTGAATCCAAACCAATGCACTTTCTAAGATAATACCCACACAGAGAATGAAACAATGAAGAATAATCTACAATTGGAAGAAAGCAAATAACTACAGCACAAAAAAAAACATAGAAATCTAAGCCCTGCATTAATATTAAGATTAGAAAACAAAACCAGAAAAATAAAATTTTAATAACTGAAATATAGCAGAAGAACGTTCTTATCAAGAAAATAAAAGCCTAAAATATAGCAAGAATTTGGGTAGACAAACCCTAGCAAACCCTAAGTATTCAGACAATCAGATGAAATCCAATCTTCCACTTTATAAACGTCAAATGGGTAAAATAAAAGATCTGAAGAAATCCGGAAGAACGAAAAGGCTAAAGAGCAGAAATATACCAGAGGCGCCGAAATATGGAGTTGAGGAAGCTTTTTCTTCTGATGTTGGGGAAGAAGAATGCAACTCTGAATTTGTACCCGTGTTCTAAACCCGCGGTTTCTTTAACCTTTATATAGAACTTGCACTGCACTATTCATATTGCGGCTACATTGTTATGCCCTTTTTTTGTGTGTGTATATTTTATTAATCTTGTGAAATAAAATATTTGAGAGAGAGAGGGGGAAGTCTGTAGAGAGAGAAGAGGCTATCTGTTTGTGAGATATGTTTTCTTATTAGTCGTGTACTTTTATTTATAAGTAATTTTAGAATAATGTTAGGTGTATTAAATTGGTTCATTAAATAACGTGGAACTAATTAAATTTGTACTTATTTAAGTTGAAATTTGATTAAGAGTTGTAGTAAAATTTATACGGTGTAGAATGAGCAATTATCATTCGGTATATAAATTTGGCATATGAAGCACCACCCCTAATTTTATACCAATCATAGGTAGGGTTTTACTTGATCCCCAAGTAATACATTCATGATAGGTTAAGATACTCTAAATCTGAAAGGATTTTACTTTAAGTTTACACAATCACATTCCATAAATAACTTTATTCATAGCAGTCCCAATTGAGTGTGTACAGCTTAAAAGGAGTAGTTGCATCAGGTTTTCATACTAATGGAGGAGCAATTCGAGTTTTCCGAATAACCACAATTAATTTATTTTTTCTTTTTATATAAATTGTTTTTCGATTCATAGTAGTACCTTTGGACTTATGTTCAAATTCTCTTCTTTTGTTTAAATGAATCTAGTGCATTTATCTTACCGTTTGTGAAAGAGTAAAACTGATATCCAAATATCTTTCAACTCATTGCTCCCAAGGTATAAGGAAAGCAATTCATCACTATTACCTAACATGTAAGGATACAGTCTTGTAACTTGTAAGCAACAAGACTGCACCATCCTTCCTAACATATAATGCCTTAGTAATCCAACCGTGACAAAAAAAAATGGATATACGCATTGTCGGAAACAATTGAAATGTTCTAGCAATATTTAAATGGGCTACACGATTTCAAATTTAGCTGTTTTTGTTGTTGTAAAAATGATCTTTTAATGAAGACTTAAACAATAAATGATTCAAATCATGAAATCAAATCGTGCTTAAACGCCGTATTTACTTACTAATCAAATCGTGCTTAAACGCCGTATTTACTAACTGATTAGTGCTTAGATGCTATTTTCTGTTTATGTATTAATTCACACATGGTATCAGGAATTCAAGATTTCATTTCTTTAGACACGCTCTCTACGAGCGGGTGACACCCTTCGACCTACGTTCAAGTTTCCATACACAAAAGCATCCATCCAAGCCCATTTCGACCCCACTCACCCACCTCTTGGTCTAGATGAGTCTAATACAAGTGAATTTCACATACGTAAGTGGAGTTCATCTCTATCAAAAAGGCTATTAACCATGTTATCAGTAAAAAAATGTACAAGTAACATTATTATCGTATAAAACTTTGAGCTTAATTATATCTCCAAAATCCAATCAAGTTTACAAATTAATGCGAGGTCTTGTATCTCCAATTATTATTTATCTTAAGAATAAAGGCACATCAAATTTATGCACTAAATTTGTAAGAGACTTGTTTAATACTTTGATGAACACTAATTATATGTGTGTTCCCAATGTTTTTAATATGTTCTAGTACTTTATAATTTATATGTCATCTTATTTTTACAATTTATATATCACAATACAATTATGTATATTTAATAAGTATACATAGACATTTATTTATAAGTTATAATATAAATTTAATTAAAAAAAAACTATTGGCACCGCCTAGATCCTGACTAGACGCATAGGTGTTAGGCCCCTACCTGTTGCCCGACTAGCACTTAGCCTTTTTAGTCTATAGTAGAGCATTTAATCTCACCATGCATTGTCGATGTTTGACTATAGTTTTAACATCTCCTTCCTGGAACAAATAAAGGAAAAAAAAAAAAAAAAAACAAGTGACCTAATTAAAGAATGACAACTTGTAAAACTTCCGCACAAAAACGCTGAAATCATGAGATATAAAGAGTGCTATGTATGCTCGCCCTTGTTCGATATGTAAGAAATCATCATGAAGGCAGATGCTCTAAGTATTACACTCATGACCTGCGGCTCCGTCATTGCCGTTGTCGCTGTTATATATCTGTGGGGTCATTGCATTGGAGGCAACAAGAAGCAAACCGGACGATCCACCATGATGCAGAGTGTAATGCCTCCTCTGGCAGCTCAACGAGCTTACTGCGATGTTGAAAGATGTGCAGGTACAAATCATCAAAGAAATAATATTACTAGAAATGGAACAAAAGATGGTGGGATGGTGATCTTGGTTGGAGCTGGTGCTGCTTTTGCTACTCCTGCTGTCGCGGCTGCCATAACTAATGATATTGATGGGGACGGTGGATGTAGTTAGTGGCGAAGCCAGAAATTTTTGAGGGGAAGGGCGAAATTTAAAAGCATAATAGGTTAAAAAAAAATGTAGGCAATCAAATTCTTTTAGATAATAGACAATATTAATGTCTTTAATAATTTATCAATATAAACAACTTGCAATTGTTGCTGGCAATGCTTCATGTCCTGAAACGGTTGCATAATATGCTCATTATCAATAAAAGCATCTCAATATAAAAATCAAACTATCACACAATTGTTGTACATCTATTGCAATATAAACATCTCTCTCAATAAAAGCAAAAACATCTCTCACATAATAAGAACACTAATATCATTTTCCTCACAAAAGTTTTGTATATCTGAATCAAGTTCTCAAAATCATCATTTCTCAAGAATTAAAGAACAAAATATAAAATACTAGAAATAATAACAAGAATAGAGAAAGAACAATAACAAACATCAATCTTTTGTATTATAATTTTAAATACTAGAAGTAATAACAAGGATTGAAAAAGAACAATAACAAACATCAACCTTTTGTATTTCTATAGTCTAAACAAATGAGAGAGAGGGAAGAGAATTAAAATGGTGTGTTGGTAGTGCGTTTCTAAAAGAAGACCACATCAATAAAATTAAAACCCAGCAGCGCAGCGTCCTTAAATTTCAGCAGGTTCAGAAGATCGGAGGGCCGAATTCTCGCTTTCATGGCAATTTCCAACGATTGGAGGGCGGCCACCCCTCCTTGCCCCTATGTAGCTTCGCCAGTGGATGTAGTGCTTGTGGTGATAATGACGGTGGTGCTTGTGGGGGTTGTATTGGCGGAGGTTGCGGGGGTTGTGGAGGTGATTAGGCATTACACTTGTTTTCTTTCTTTCTTTCTTTCTTTTTTAAATATTGATTTTATTCTTATTTGAAGAATAAAATCAATGATTTATGCATTTGAGATTTAGATAAATGTTGTGAAGAATAATTAAGAGAAATTTCAGATTTGGTTTGTTCTGTAATGGTGGGCTGAATTATTTGTCTGCCATGCAACTTGGTGGAAAAATCCAACTTCCCAAATTTGTAGAGAATAAGCACGCTTAATTTGATGTTCAAGTTTAACTAATGGGGTGTGCTATCGACACATCCCTTTTTACTTCTTACACATCCCTTATTAATTTCTATATTTCTTCTGATCCGATGATCGAAAATTGAAAAGATGTGTGAGAAGTAAAAAGAGGTGTGGATATCACACCCTAACTAATAAATGATTATATGTAATATAAATTTTGTATCATTAGAGCATCTCCAAAGGATATGTCCAAATATTCAAATCAGCAATAACGGTAAGAAAAAACAGCAGCGAGGTTTTCCAACCGAGAAGCAAAATCTGATGTGACATGACATGAAATAGCAATTCTCCCCTTTGTCAAATTTGAAAGCAGCCTCAAATATTTTTCTAATTAATTTTTACATGTTATTTCATTAATTTTTTATTTATCAAATCTGCAACTCTCCTCTCCCACTAGAGCATGAGAAGTGCCGCTCGTCCTTCTTCTTTCCTTTTCTTAGAACCAAACCCAGAAACCAACCTCATGATTTCAACCGAAAACCCAAATGTAAGACTCCATTTCGCACTGTTGCTCAGACAAGAGCTCTCGAATCCTCGCTGCAATGCCTCGGCTACGATTTGAGGAAGATCGTCGCCGACAGACTGCAATCCCTTGGCTACAATTCCAACACCTGCAAATCGAAATGGGAGAAGTCGTCGTCTTTCCCTGCCGGTAATTTAAAATCCCACACTTTCTCAACATCCAAACATATTTTATAAAAGTTGAAATTAAAAGGTTAAAAAAAAAATTTGGTTGTGGCCTTTGGATTTCAGTTGAATTCAAGTGATGGTAGACGGTGACAGGTTGTCGATGGAGAAGAGAAGTAGGTATATAAAGATTTAGAAGAGAGAGAGAAGATGATAGAAGAAGTATAGAAAGAAGGGGCATAAAATAATAGTTTAATAAAATGAAAAGAAAATAGTATAATAAAATATTAATTTAATTTGAAATATCAAGTGAAGAGCAAAATTTTGAAAGATGTCAAAATGCCACATAGGCTGTCAAATTCAAATTTTATTTTTAAAATTTGACATCTCATTTGGAGATGGTCTTACATGTTTTGTTGTTGCCTCATCATTTAAACAGTTATCCACTTGATATTCTAATTATATATTGTAATATTTCTAACCATCTCCCTCCCCTTAATAATAATAAAACTTAAAGAAAATGAAAAAGAGAGCAGATGTAGAGAAATGTGAAAGAGAGAGGAAGAGAGAAGACATGGAAGAGGCAGATTTTTATTTGTATTTTTGATTTTTTTTTAAATTTAAAGGTATATTTTGATCACATGGGGGTTAGGGTAATATACAATTTTTTTGGTGCGAAATATCTTTAATGCCCATGATAATTCTATTTTTCTTGGCAAAAACCTAGAAATAGGACAATTTCTTAATCTTGAGACATAAATAGGACATTTAAAATATGCACACGACATGCACAACAATCGAACAAAAATAAGAATTTCCTACATCTTAAAATGACTTTATTGCCCTCGTATATAATTGTGTTATTTTCTCCCATTTTCTGATTTCCCTCTCTCTGTCGACTCTCTATCCTTACCTCTCTCTTTGAAATTGGTATTAGGCCGAATATTCTGTATATAAAAATAATAATTAGTTGGACTAACTAGTCAAGCCCACTAGTCGACTAAGATAGATATG